AACACAAGAAATTATTCCGAATCAATAGTTACAAGCAAATATCTGGCCAATTCCAAAAAAACAACATTACAACTATGAATTTAATTTTACTTGTCCTATTACACTAATTGATTATACCAGAAAAATCTTCACAAAAATTATAACAAACCGACTTACAAATATTCTAACTCATAACCAAGTATTATCACCTTACAATTTTGCAGCCTTTTCATATCAATTTACATTATAACCAATTTTACAACTTATCCAAATTCTTGAAGATGCAACTACAAATAATAAGGAAATCTAGATTTTCTCTTAAGACATGTCAAAAGTTTTTAATTCAATTTATATATCTACTTTATTTAAAGCTTTTAAAAGAATTTACATTCTAGACAAAGCTATAAATCTATTATCATATTTGTTTTCACACTGAACCAACAGAATAATTACTACTTTAGGCTTAACTGCACCATATTTAGTAGAAGATAGAGTGGACCAAGGAAAGACAATTTTTCTCCTCTTATGAAAAATATATTACAACCTCTTGATATCAAAAATACATAAAGAGCATTAGGGATTTATTAGTAGAATTTCTCCTCCAAGCATGAAAAAAATACATATCTCTGTAATGACATATATGGATAACTTTCTATAGATCACACCAAACAAAAATATCTCTTACAAACATTTTGTGTATGGCCTCCTCTTTCTACAAATTCACTAATATAAAAGTTAATTTATCTAAATTTACTTTAGTTACAAATTCTCCAAATCAAGACAACTCTATAATTTTTGATGATGAACAACTGATCACAATAGATTGTAAAACACCTTTCAAATATTTGGGAGCATGGTTCTTGACCAACAAAAAGCCAATACTAATACAAAAAGAAATAATAGCAGAAGTTAAGATCAATCTAAAAAAACTGCAATTTGCCAATATAACAGAAAAACAAGCCATTTATATCATAAACAGTGTCATTATTCCACACTTCACTTACTGGCTATACTCCTTATTTCTTTTGTCTTTACAAATAAATTCTCTTAACAAAGCATGCACTTAACTAGTAAAACATAAGGCAAAACTAGTACGAGGAGTTCTGAACACCTTTTTATTTAATCCAGAATTTATGCATTAACAGACTTAGCTTAAGCACAAACTTCAGCACTAGTTTCAACACTACAAAAAAATCTAAACTACTTCAACTTCGATTTTTTATTTTTGAAATTATGATTATAGCAACTATAAGATGCAGCACTTACTAACATTTCAATTTTAACACAACTTCTAGTATTTTCATTAACACAAATAAATACACAAACATGTCAGATGATAATAGCTTTACATGCATTGGGAATGCAATCCTCATGAAATGTTGATGACTGGTCACATTCAAAGAAATTTCCAGATACACCTATAAACCAAATTCTCTTAAACCATCCTAGAGCTTCATACCTCAAAGAAAAGCTAAACAATCACAATATTACTAGCATTGAACAATTCTTAAATGCAACCAATACAGAACTTCTAATATAGAATAATTTTTATCACAATATCAAAAAAATACCTTGAGATCAATGCTCTCATTGGTTTCGCCTAATGCAAGACCTAATAACTGCATTTACAAATCCATCATTAACATTTTCACAGTTAAATTCTTACACTCTAACCAACTGAACATCTAGTAAAAAGTGTTAAATAATCACAAAAGATGCAACTTTTAGAAGAATATACAACTCATTTAACAAAAACCTAAAAGTTTGATACTATATTCTACACTCTAATAACATGCTAATAGCATGTCAAGGATGTAAACTTAAAGACAGAACTTATTTATCTAAATATTGTTACTTTAAGGCAACAAAACTAATTTACAATCTTCAAGTAAATTGCAAAAAAAAAATCTATATTGATCTAAATGATTTCAAACAGACAATAACCTTAATGCCAGTGGCAACACATCAGCTTTTTAATCAAAAAATACACTCAACCTTAGCTAGACCCCTTTGCTCCTTTGCCAATCCTCCGATACCACTTTAGAACACTAACAGAGACTAACTTTAACAAAAAAAATATAACAATATATATAACAAGTGGTTGACAAAATGTAGAAAATAACTCCCATATAGTGGCAAAATGTCAACTTCAATACTTTCACACCAACTTTGGTTGCTTTACCAACCTCTAGCCTTCTCATTTAAACACCTTATTAATTTTGCTAACATTTGTGCTAACCTCAATAAATCCTTATGCTAATATAAAAATATATACCAACAATTCCTCACTAGTTAATTTAATTAACCTTATGCAATCTACTCAATTGCACAACTATCTTGCACTTGACAAGCAACAACATGCCTATCTTATTTTAGTATTAAAAATAATAATATATAATCATACAATCTCAGCAACTCTGAACAAAGAACTTCAGATTCAAGAAACTAAAAATATCTTTCAATTAGACTCTATATCACAAAAATTTCTATATAATTGATTTGTCCTAAAACTTCTCAGCAACCCTTGCACATATTTGCTAAAAACTACAATAAAACAAATATACTAAATTACAAATAGATTAGCTTGGTTTTATCAACAGCATATTTCTTACTGGCATACTTCACAAAATAATATTAACTGATCATTATCCTTACAATATATCTTATATGGAGAAAAACTCTTGGCTCTAGTAACAGATCCTTTCTCTTCAGCACTAAAGAATTTTAAAATCAAACTGTTATCAGAAGAATTACCTACACATCTCTTGCTTTACTGGAGGAATGCTACTAAACATCCAAACTATTTCTGTTCAAGATGCTATAGTGCTCCAGAAACTATTGTACATCTTTTAGACTATCTTGGAAACTATTTATATTTTACAACACTAATAACATGTGCAGTGTATAAAGCAACAAACAATTTAGAAATACCTTGTTATGAGATAAACAATTTTACTTAAGCTTTTATTTTAAACCACATTGATAAACAAATACTATTAGGTTTAATAGCTAGCAACACCTTGGTACTGTTTGAAAATAATAAACATAATGCTTCTCTTATACATCACAATATTATCTCTGCAATATATAAAGAACTTTAGCTTCTCTCCTGAATAATACAACATGATTCCTTACAACCAACTCTATCACCTCTATGACCTCCAATATTGGCTAAAACTAAACCAATTTTACCTTCTATATTAAATGAAAAAATTCATTGTTATATTACTAGTGGACAATCTTCTCTCAGTCATCTTATTATAGACTAGAGGTCTATTGACCATTCTAGCAAAGAATAGATCAAGAGTAAAATAGCTCTTACTCCTATCTTCTCTAGCTTAGTTTCTTCTGCATATATCTTATATATGTAAATTATAAAGAGATAGAAGATAGACCTCTTTTAAAAACTAAAAAAAAAAATTTTGAAATTAAGGTAAGATTTGTTCATATCTTTATTAATTTGTTGAAGATATCTTTAAAAATTTTTTTGAATATAAATTATAAAATTTATTTCAATTACAAATTTATTACAAAAGTAAAACTCAGACTATAGAAAGATACTAACTATTATTTATTTAATTTATCTGTAATCCAAACCTACTAAAATGGTTAAACTTAATAGTATAAAATATTGTTTGTAAGATAACTATAAAGTATTTAATAATCAAACTATATTAATTTTATATAAAACATTATCAAGTGATAAACAAGTATTTGAGTTGTATTAAAAATTTAAAATTTCTATTTTAAAATTTTATTAAAATTTTTTTAAGATATTATATATTTCTAAAACTAAAAAAAAAAAAATTTAATATACATAAATTTAAATTTTTATAAATAAATTACAAAAATATTACTAATAAAAATTGTTATCTTTTATATAAACTAAAATATTATATTAAAAACTATAAACTTAAAATTAATATATAAAGTATTTATAAATAATTTTTTTAATTAAAATTTTTTTTTAAATTTATCTATTTTTAACTTATAAACAATATATAAAATTAAATACTGCTATAATATAATCCTTATTTTCAAATATTTATTATTAAATAAAATTTTATTTAAATATTTTAAAAATTTAAAAAAAATAAATCATAAACATATTTTTAATAATTTTCCAAGCAAATTTGCCTGAAAAAACCTACAGATTAAGGGATAAACTTTTTTAGTTTGAATTATATAAAAACAATACAAATTTATAAATAAAACGATCTTCGACATTTTTTTATTAATAAACCAAGACAAATATTTTCCGCATTTTTGGTCGAGATTATTTTGATTGGTCGACCGGCATATAAAAAGTCGCATAACCACGAGATTCTGACAGACCTCTAACGTTAGATGGCAAAAAAATTTGATAATTTTCTATTGTATAAAATATTTCTTTGACGTATTTCCAAAATAGAAGCATAAGAAATAAAATAGGATTTAAATATACGATCTTGGTGTCACTACTGTCATGTAATCAAGCAAACAAAAAAAAAGAAAACTTAATTGTATAATTAGACACCAATATGTAATAAATCAAGATATTTTTCCCTAACACTCTAAACGAATTTAAAATTATTTTACAAAAATAAAACATTGCAACTAATTGGTCTCGCAAATCAAAACGCGGTCTTTCTTCGTTTTTCTCGCACTAGTCAGAAAATTAAGTCAAGTTCACCATCGGAAGACTAAAAAGAAATTAGACAAAGTATTATTGATTAATCTTTCATACTATTTCACCAAATAGCCATTTACTCACCGAATCATCCAAATGATCAGAACTAAATAGTATATTAGGCTTCATTATATAGGTATATAAAATTTTTCAGTATGTTAAAAATAAAATAAATAAAACTCACGGATCACCAAGAGTAGCCTGTAAAGACTTAACTCGTTCTTTCAATTCATTCTTCTGCATTAGAAGTTGTTGGATATATTCTACGGCTAAAAATAAATTAATAAATAAAAATTAGAGGAATCATAAATATTCGAGTAATCAAATGTAGTGCATATTTTAGAATCATAGATTATAACCAAAAAAGTTTACATTTTTGTAAAATCAACGCTTCACTCCTATGACATTGGCTAAGAGTGGGCACAATTTCGACTAGTTGATCGAAGCCCAAACGTATGTTTTGTCGCCTTTTTTGTTCTGATGCAATATGATTCGCCTTTTTCTCTGCTTCAGTTAAAAGTTCGTGATGCCCTTTTTTTCCCCTTCGATTTGGTGCTGGTGTTGATGGTGATTGATTATTATTCGATTCAGGCGTTAATAATATCTTTGGGGATCCAGGTGCTGAAGAAGTTGATGCACCATTTATTCCTGATGCTGAAGATAACGTTTGTGGGTGTGTAGTCGACGATGCTGAACTGCTGCCTTCTTCCGACTTTGCATCTAATGATGTTACGGTTGAATCATTTTTAATTGATTTTCGTCGAGAAGGAGTTCGCTTTAAAGGCTGCTTGGGAATCGAACTCGATTGTGGTGAAGGAGAACGTTGTCTCCGACTTATGTTAATAGGCTCCGTTTTGATGTATAAAGCGGATGATTGATTTCCGGTAATTGATTTGGACTTCCCAACATTATGCATTACCCCATTATTCAAAGGTTGTATCTGATGAGATAAAGGATATGATGGTTGTACAAAGGTATTATGAACATGGAGAGCTTGTTGAAAATTCGGAGGTTGTGAATAGCCGTTATTGGCTGGTATGGTGATAGGATCAGAGCCGACAGGTTGATATATATACCCACCGGCGCCGGGATATCCAGCGCCTGTTTCAAAATTCTGACTAAACCCTGGTGGAAACCCTCTAGATGTCGGTGCGGAGGATTGAGACCCTGCGTCTTTGATTCCAATTATTTGTTTTCCGAACGTATTAATTCTTATGAATCTTCCAATACGTGATAAGTCAATTCAAAATAATGAAATTAATTACCTGGAAACGGAATAGGAGCTGGCGTGAGGTCCATCATGTTGCTCGGGGGCTCTTCGGTTGCAATCGTGTTTAAGAAATCAGCAAGATATTTCTGATCGATTTTAGAAGTGGCATGTAATGAGTATATTATGTATATGATTACACAAAGTTCAAAAAGTCTGACAGCTTTAGACAAGACTGGATCAGTAAGTAATTTTCGTAATTTTTGTCACAATGACGCAACTCTTTTATAAACTCGACTGGGAAGTACATACGTTTTCTTGTTCGTTGAGAAGACCATCGTGTTGCATTTCAGTCGAGTATCTGAGTACACTCTCAGAGTTCGTTTGAAAGGACATTACTCACAGACAATGGGTTAGACAATTAATGAATATATACTATCTCGACGATAAGACGGAAAGCAAAATAACCAATGCGTGACGGTTAAATTTTGACTTATATATTTAATAACGATAAGCTTCGTTGGTTGTCATATGAGTTTATCTTTCTCATTTTAAATTATCACAGTGATAGTCAAGGGTTTACCCCAAAAAAATCAATTGCCGTATTCCTCCGAAAATAAGCACCCTTTTTCGCATGTAATGCGGGCCACAATTATTGTCAAGTGGGGTGAAGAAATAGGATAATTGATTTTCATAACCTGACCGAAAACTCAAAACGAGGTTTCAATATAAAAAAAAAGCTAGTCAGCGTTACGAAAACCAAGAAATTAAATTTATCAGTCATAGGACATTTTTTCTTATAAAAGCTCAAAATGTTGTCTATAATAAATTTACTATTAACTTTGAGCTGAAGATTCTTTTTGACTATAACTAAATAACTTAAAATTAAATTTTGTGATTATATAGAACAAAAGAAAGAGAAAAAATTTAACTTAAAAAATTCTGCTAATTTTGTCTATTTAGAAGATATAACTTCTTCAAAAATAAATATTTTTTAATTTTAAAATAATTATTATATGGATTAGGTGTTAAAGAAAAAGACCAAATTAACAAAAAATTGATTTTGTAAAAAATCAATTTTTATATTATAAAATCTTATTAACTTATAGGAAAATACAAATTTTTTATCAATCCTCAAGTAGCAGGTCTAGTGTTCAAATTCTATAGATAATGAAATTTAAAAATTATATCTATGTTATAGTAACTGTATTTTGTCAATCAGTTGGACAAAAGAGATAATTTGTAATCTTAAAAACATTATCTTGAATGGAAGCTCAAAGCATTTATACAAAGTGTAAGATTACATATACATAGAGGAATGTTAATAACCAGTGTTGTATAAAACTTTGATACAAACCTATGATAAGACTATTGGGTATATAATACTAAAAAATCAAAACATAAAAACCTACTTAAAATTTTGAATAAAGAGATAATATGAACTTTTAATAATATTATTAAATGAATTATATAATAATATATGTAAAAAAGCATATACCAACCAGATTACTAGAAACCATCTAAGAAAAAAATCTTAGAATATCATATACTGAACCATCTGGATTTGTTGTTTAAAAAGTTTTATAAATTCAGAAATAAGAGTTAAAAGTTAAAAAAGAAAAGTATCAAGATACTAGTAAATTTTACAAGGATATAGTAATTTAATAGTTAATTCTGACTGCAATTAATAGTCTAGATCAAAGTGGTACTAGGTCAGTTGTAAGTATAAAATACAAAAGGTTTCAATAGGCTTAATATAAAGTTAAATATAACTTAGTAATTATAGCATATTTGTAATTGATCTGTAATTAGTAGAATAAAAGTAAATATAAGAACTAAAATGTTTAAATAAAGAATTTACAGGCAGGTTCTAGATATAGCAATTAGTATAAAACCTTTAGATGGACTACTTAAAATAGACAATATCTAAAGTTATATAAATAATTAGTTGTATATTCTTTTTATAATTGCTTTTGTAGTTGTTATATATAATAGTTATATATTAACATTATTAATAAACTCCTAGGTCATAATTACTTGTCTTAACATTAAAAAAAAAAAAAATACAAATTTTTATTAATATTAAAAAAAAAATATAGATTTTAAAAAATTATATTATAAATTTTATTTAAATTAATTTTAAAATAATTAAGTTTAAAAAATTCATTTTAAAAAATTATTAATTTGGTTTTTTTTAGCATTTAGCTTATATATAAAATTATATATTGAATAATTTTATTTAAAAAACAAAAATAGATTATCTTAGTATAAAAATAAATTAATTATATATTAAAGATAAATATTTTTATTTATCTATATAAAACTTTTTTTTATTAAAATAACTTATTTTATTTTTTTAAATAAACTTGTTTAACATAAAATTTTATATATACTTATTTGTCAAAATGTATTTTTTTAAAAAACTCTTCTTATTTATATCTAATTAGAAAAGGTAAATAAAAAATAATAATTATAAATTCATTCAAAAAAAACCAAAACTTATTAAATAAGATACTAACAAGGATCAGAGTTTTTGTTCTAAAAAAAAGAAAGCTTCTTTAAAGTGTAAAGTTACTGTCAGCAGAAAAAATCTTTAAAATATAAAAACTTAACTTTGAAAGAGAAAAAAAACAAATAATTCTCTTACTAAAAAAATAAATAATATAATTTTTAAATATATTTTAACAATTTAAAAAACAGTAAGATTAGTAAAAGATAAAGAATTAATACTAGTAGTAGTAGTTTAAAATAAGGAAAACTGGTTAGAAAACCTAATTCAAGATGAAAAAAATACTTGAGTTTTAGAAAACATGTCTAGATATAGAAATAAAACAGATGCTAAAAATAAAAACAATAACAAAGACAATTATATATCAGATATAACAACTAAAACATATGTTATTATAAAAATTTAGTTTGTAAGCAAAGTTATTTAAAGCTATATATTAGTAATCAAACAAGGCACAAACCTGACTATTAAATTGAAAAAAAAATTCAATCTTTGTTGCTTTCTTATTTAAAAATCAAATTAAATCCAAAAACAACAATATACTAATTATTGAAATTTTCAATCTTTATAGTTTTCTTAATAAAATTATAGTCTTTTTATATAAAGAACTAAAAAAAAACATAGTTGTAGCCAAATAGCATTTTAGAAAAAGTCTAAAATTTCATCTTAAAATCATATTCTTAAATTAAGACCAACTAGTACATTATACTACAGAAGAAGTTAAAATTTTTTTTTTTTTTTTTTAGGTGACCTCTTTGGTCTTTTGACTTTTATTAATCATTTATCAGTATTGTGATTCAATGAACTACTACAGAAGAGAGTACAATTGGCTACACATGTAACTTTTTTATATTGCTTATTTAAGAAGTTTGCCCAAAGGTTCCTTACCAATTGTCATATTTAACACCTCTGCTTGGATGTTTTACTTTAAACCCTCTAAATCTGTAATCTGTGTTAACTCACTGGGTTATACCAAGATGCCCAGATTATCATCTTAACCTTAGAACTAATTTATCCTCAAGGTAAACCCTCCAGAGTCTTCTGTACTCACTTTTACAGCTAACCTAAGTATCGCTATAGCAGAACCAATACTTGCAGTTAGGACTGATCATTAAATTGCTATGCCCTTGTAGAGTTTACTTAGACTCCGCATTTACTTCATAGCATAACCCTGGTACTTTAGTATACTCTTGCCTTTTCATCTGCCTTTTTACCAAACTCTTAATCCAGATAGCCTGTATAGAACTACAACCAGTTCATCAGTATATTGAGTTGGTCTGATATCCTTTTCTTTCAGTTCGTTTCAGCAGCCTAGTTTGTAGTACCCCTAAGACTTCCAACCTAGAGGTTCTTGCCCATTCGGCTACTATAACTAAATACTATGACCTTGGTATTTGTTTTCTCATACTAGCCTTTACAGTAGGGCTATCAAAGATCTAGCTACCTCTTTACTCAGGTCTTTCCAAATAGACTTCTTGTTACCTAATTTCAATGAATTTACACAGCCACAAGAACTTATCTAGTGTTTGCACCATCTGATTTGTCAGTTTGCATTTTTCTGTATAATGCCATACTTACACAGATACTTCATAACCTTCCAGTTATGCTGATGTAATTGCCATTACAGGTATTCTAACCTAATTATTAGTAACAGTTGCTATAATATGAATATTACATAGGTGATTATTCAAATTTTCACCATCGATGAGATTTGAACATCCAACCTACCACTTGAAAGGTTGACAACCTAACTACTTCACTAGGTCACCACACCCCTAAGTTAAAATTTTTAATTAAATCAACTATAAATATAATTCTATAGATATAGCAAGTTTTTTCTTTTAGTTAAAATAAAAAAAGTTCTTTTAGAAACCAAAAAACAAATTTCTATACTGGTTAAAAAAGCATTTGAAAACTTTAAAAAAATTGTCTTGATTAAACTATTGCTTATCAAAAACACTTTATATATAACAGACCAATAGATTATTATCTTTGATAATACAAAAGACTTAGAACTAGAACAAAAAATCTTCTACTTTATATATATTAAAAATAACAGAATTATTACTAAATAAAAGAAGACACTAAAAGTATATTACTTCTGTAATAAAACTGGTCATATTAAAAAAAGCTGCTTACAATTTCAAGAAGCAAAGAAGTTAAGATATTATTAAAAAATAAAAAAATTTTAAATAAAACACCAAATAAAATCATAGCAAAGATCCAAATAGATATTGATAAAGAAAACTTCACAGTTCAAAAAATAGCAGAAGACAATAATATAGAAACAGTATTCAATTAAGAACAAGCAATAGAACCAAAAAGGACCTAGTTGCAAACAATATAAATACTAAAACAGAAACTATTGCAAATAATAAGCTAATCATAAACACTTGTTCTACTAACTCAGTTATAAAAAAAAATAATACAAATCAAAAAAATGTCCAAATAGTTAGTTAAAAAAATATAGAAAATGCAGCCTTTATACTAGTAATAAGAAAAAAAATATATAAAGATTTAAAACCTTACAACACAATTAACAAAAAGAATCAAAATAATAGATCAAAATAAAAAGTCCAAAAAAGCTTTAAAATTATTAATTTTTTATAAACAATCTATTAATCAAAATTGTTATCTTAAAGGGGTGTGATGACCTAGTGAAGTGGTCAGGTTATCAACCCTCCAAGTGGTAGGTTGGGTGTTCAAATCCCATTGATGGTGAAAATTTGGATAATCACCTATGTAATATTCATATTACGGCAACTGTTACTAACGATTGGGTTAGGATACCTGTAATGGTGGTCACACCAGCATAACTGGCAGGTCATAGGGCATCTGTGTAAGTATGGCATTATACAGAGGAATGCAAACCGACAAATCGGGTGGT